AATAATAATAATAATAATAATAAGTCATAAAAATATCATAGTACCTATTATCATCATCGTCAATAAGCATGACAATAGGAGTGATTTATTTCAATTGGATCATTGCATCAGATGTTACAGAAACAGCAGGTGTAAGAGGCATTTCAGTGCTCTGTTATGGATAATATACTCATAATAGTTACTAATGTTATGGTTATATTCAATTCATTCAAGCACTCATCTTTCTTAAAACCAATAACCATTTATATATCATCTAGATGAGACGGATCATGAACATTTGCAAATAAATATGATGTACTATGAATATATGATTAGAGCAAAAGGCTCAGCATCATCATTATTATTATGATGTATTTTTAGTATCATTACCATTGACAACTGGAGTAATAATAATGATAAGGATGGCAATAATTTTAATATTGTCCACATCATTTAAGAGTGGAATTCATTTAAACAATCCAAAAGTCAGCTGTTAATTTTATTTGTGATCATTCCTGGTTGAATTTCATTCCATGATCTCTTTTCTGTGGCTATCTATATCGGTCAAAATGTCCGCACACACGCGCCAACATCACACCGCACTGATGGTACTGTCAGTTCGCTTGGATACTTCAAAATTCATTAATACGATGTGGAATTGTGTTTCTTTTGGATCACATACAATTAACTGCACACATGTGACTAGGAACTACAGATTTCTAGATGTATGATCGAAATATCAATTACTGGAATATGCAATATGTAATAGTAATATGCAATACTTTACTGGAATGCCGCAGTGTTTAATGCTTCGAACAGTATGCCCGAATTCGTCGTACTTCCCCTACAGTATCCTCGCTCAGTCATTTCCACTAGAATTCATCGTAATCAAGCGTAAGCTGAACGATCAAAATACCGACTTATTGCGTCGTGAATCGTGTAAAAACTTGTTTCCAATTATTATTGTACGCTCGTTCGCATCGTTCATTGTTGTTGTCAACGCGACCGTGAAAAGAAACCAATCAACACTGAATCAAATCAAATCACATGGATATTCATCGAAATCCAAACCCATTTGCCATTGAAATAAAAATCAGCAAAAAACAGCGATTGTGACAATGGAAAGAAAAAGTGCAAGATCTGTTACAATGCCCACAAATCCTTTCAACCAATCTGATGAACCGATGCAAATTTATGACCATCGCAATGCAATTACTTTTCAAAATCATCATAAACACTACAACTACGAAAAGTGAACGAAAACATGAAAAACAATGGGTGAAACTCATTGAAACGAATCGGAATTGCCCAACGGCATTGAAAAACTTCAATTTAATGAGATTTTTTTCAGCAAATGAGACTGATTTTAAG